AGTACTGACATGCAGATATAGAAAAAGTAACTCACCACGAAGGGAGGGACGGTGGGGATTAGTACTGACATGCAGATATAGAAAAAGTAACTCACCACGAAGGGAGGGACGGTGGGGATGAGTACCGACATGCAGCTCTTGTAGTCCTTAAGACATTCCATTCTGCTTTTCTTCTTCAGTCTAATGCAGTCGTACAGATCAATCTTGCATTGCTATTAATRACGAGATATATTTAATAACAAGATATAAAGATCGCTTATAATCTATCAGTACATCATAAAAAMAGTTGAATCCACTTCTATATTGATTGATTTATTCTAATGCACCGCGTAGGCAGCGCAGCCCGCAATCAACTATTGTTGGAAGAAAMAGAAAAAACGGAAACCTCCTGATGCCTAGTTGATCATCTTGTGCTGTGTAGTAAACTATTATTTTTTCCCTCGCAAGCAGCCAAATTATAACGAGATTTTTTGGGAATTTAAAAAAAGGAGGATGGTCAAATTCTCAGTGTGATACCTTGATGTGAAGTCTCATTCACCTCATAAAGTGACTAATAATAAAGCTTACTTATTTTGTACGAGGATATTTGACTTATCTCATGGATAGGAAAAGACACTCACCACGTATGGRTGTCTGTCTGGCACAACGTCGTCCATCAGGAACGTAGATGGCGAGGATGGTCCTCCATTTTTCAAACACTTGGCGAATTCAACAAAGCATTTGCCTTTGTTCACAAAMCCAGTTGCTGTAGCCACGCAATTCTTGAGCTCGTCTTTACACTGGACCTTTGAACAACAATTGGAGAAAATGTAACAAATGGATGGAGTTTTGCTATTTAGTGTCTTAAGTTTGAGGCATGCTTCAAACTGTGGCGTAGCACTCCACCTGCGTTGTATTGGAGTTTGGAGAGGACGAGTTGGCAACATTCGGTTGGGCAACATTTTGGAGACAAAAGTTTCTTGAAATTTACAGGGATTTAATCACTCAGGGTTTTTCATGTTATTTTTTCAAATTTCTTTCACWTTTTTTTTTTTTTTTTTACTTTTTGCTCGATCAGCGCTAATTTACCTAAAATGAGCCACCATTTGGTGTATTGGTATTGAGAATTGATATTACAGAGAGAATAAAACTAAACTTTGTAACATGTACTTACCACGAAGGGGGGTACGGTAGGGACAAGTTGCTTCATGCAGTTGTAGTAGGCCTTGAGGCATTCTGTTTTGGACTGAGCTCCCTTCCTCATGCAGTCGTACAAATCAATCTTGCATTGCTAAAAGAAATTAGTAAAAGGATACCCTGACCTGTAGTTTACCTTAATTGCAATTATGATTATATTTTATAATGTTAGAGCTAATAGGGAAAGACAGTGTTTTCCTACGTCTGACAACAGTGCTTTAGCGTCTACCTTTGTCATGCTAGTATTACTTAATTTAATTGGATATAGTTTAATTCGTTAAGATCTAATAAAGGCTGGTAACCACAGCTGAAACGTCAAAAACTAAAGAAAAAGCCAGAGACAAACTACCTCGAATATAGATATAACATCGGAAAATTGACTGGAACGTATTCAAAGGTTATTTGGAAAAATTAATGCTGTCTACTTTTAAATGAAAAAAAAAAGCCTTACAAACGAGCTAGAAAAAAATGTCGGTGTTTTCGATTGAAAAATGATTTGAAACAAAAAAATGTAAAAATGATTTTATACTTGTATACTTGTTTTGTCAAGTTACTGAAAAGCGAACATTGCGGTTTTCAAGTTCAAAAAAAAAWTTTTTAATTGGCTAAAATTAAATTAATTCGTTTATGCATCTATATTTACATGAATCCCCTACCACATATGGATGTCTGTCCGAATCATCTTCCATATCTTCCGTCAGATAAGCATCCAGTTCATTAGTGGCATAGATCTGAGCCACGAAGGCGAACAGCAAAATAACCGCAATAGATTGCTTCATGTTTGATTCAAGACTTGTACCTTCAAGCTACAACTTTAAAGATGTATCAGCTCTAAAATTCTGAACTCTTTTTATAGTATTTCAGACAATGGAATCCTTTTGCAAACGTGTTTTTCAGCAAATATTGAAAAATCTGTGTTAGTCTTGGATTGTGTCAGCGTATTGTACGGTTTCTTATGTACATTATTTATTGTTAAATGAAAGCAGAAGCGACAACGCTGAAGGTATTATGTTATCATGTCATGAACTATTTAGTATCCTGAACCACTCTTAAGAAAAAAGTTAATGGTGAGACAAGATTTTGACAGAGTTCAGAAATAACATTCAGCTGGTAGAATAATAGGCTACAATAGGCAAAGACTGCTGAAGACTGGAATAAAAGAATAGTGTGGAATAGTATTTGTACAGAAGCACGATGGCTATTTTATTCTGATTTACATTTTAGATATAATAGCAACGGTGAAAAACTAATCAGAGACTTCATCACTCATTTTTATATTTATCAAAAATTTTGAGTTTTATCAGTTTAAAAGAGGCTGGAAAGGGTTTTGTGCCTTATCACATACACTCACAGTTATTAACTTTAAAAAGAAATGGCATTAATATGACAGCAAGTCATCCGCCCTGAAGGCCAAAGACCATAAACCAAAGATCACAATGAACATGAAAAAATGACTTGAGAAGTTGCTAAAACATTAGAAACCTCGTTATGTCTTAAAAGTAAAGTCATAACTCAAGAACCAAAACGTGATTTTTTTTAAAAACCGGAATATTTAAACTTTGTATCGTAATCTCCTTTTCGACGAAAACAGAAAAAAATTATGTAAGAGGGAATTCGTGAAAATCAATACAATTTGTTTGGAATAGTTCCCTCTCTTACATAAATTTTTGAATTTTTCCTTAAAGGCCCGTTTACACAGATTCRCGTGTGATCATAAATCGCGAGTGTAAACAACCGATTTTGAGGCGATTTGAGTTGCGATTTTTGCGCGATCTGCTGCGATTTTGTAAAAAATGCTATTTCTGAGGCATGTAAACATGTATGGCTGACTGCAACAAGCAGTATTCAGTTTTAATCTTTCTCAATTTSTTTTGTCATGGAAAGCGACGATCTTGAAATTTTCAAATTCTTGTTCAAGTGTTTTACTGATTTTTTCTCTTGCTACTTGTTTCTTGTCTTGTCTCTTGCAATATGGAGAACTAGTCATATAAAGGCACTCATCCTACTTGGCCAATATGTTACTTAATAATTACTCTTGAACTGACTGCTTCCAACTGTTACACTCTTTGATGCCCTTTTTCCCGTCTTTACTAATTTTTCCGCCTTTGTTGACATCTAACAATTCTACCGTGTAGGGTGCCCTGAGGGTATTTTCATCTCTTGAAACAGAGAAAATCACCGAAAAAGCGCACTTAATTCGAACATGTTYAAAATAGTGGGGATGCATTGGCGACGTGAATTTATCAAATCGCTTCAAAATCGCCGGTAGTTTACACGAGCSATTTATGACCGCACGTGATTCGCCGCAAGAATGGTGGAAATCACGCTGCAAGTCGCCGAAAAAAATTCGCCTTTGTAAACGGGCCTCAAGTTTCCGAAAACATAAACCAAAGCCATATGCAAAATTTGAAGAAATTTCACCATAGAGTTTTTACTTTTTTTCAGTTTGAACATTAACATTTTTGAGGACAAAATTTTCCTTTTGCAAGTTCTACGTCATCGGACCTAGAGCGCAGTTCTAAGTCAGGGCATGGTTAACTCATCACAGTTCGATCCCTGAAACAACCTCTGRGCGCGCAATTAATTCTCCTAGCAACTGATACATTTAACTATAGCACGCGCACATTGTTATGTTGCGTGTTTTCTTGTAAAATTGTCACAACCGTTTACCCTGATGAAGAGCAAGATGCTTGAAAGCTTGGCTTGATTTATTATTAAAAAGCTGATGAATCAAAACTCTGGGCTGTTCTAGGTCACGGAACGGCTAACTTATATATCGAACCCTGAAACAACCTCTGGGGTGTTCTAAGTCAGGGTACAGCTAACTTACAGTTCGAACCCTGAAAGAACCTCTGGGCTAATGTACGTCAGGGCACGTAAACTGCCAACTCACAGATCGAACCACGAAAGAGCCTCTGGGCGATTCTAAGTCGGGGCATCATGGCTAGCTCAAAAATCGAATTCGAATATAGAACAGGAGGTTAGCTTAGTCGGGGTTACGTGTAACACCCTGCGCCTAAAATTTCTTTACCATATTACTTATTGGTTTCTAAGACCTAGCTAGGATTAACCATCCTCAGGGTGTCATGGAGTTTAGGGTTGGGTTAGCTGTTCAAATATAGAGGCTTTGCCAAGCGATTGACAAATATGTATTGTAACAAACCCATCACCGCTTTTATTTCTACTGTTTGATGCAAGCATACCGGCTAATAAATGTAACAATAGAAAACAATAAAAGAAAACAACACTGAGAAGAATGACAACTGCCAAGTAGTCGTTGAGAGGAGTTGAAAGAACTAAGGTGTCTGTTCAAGCAATATGAGCTTTGTTGAGCATCCACGATGACGCACTAAAGTAAAAAATTTGCAAAAAATACACATGTTTTTGTCTTGTTTCATTATATCGAGTGTGGAAACACCTGCCAGGTGAACTGGGACAGATTGAGGTTATTTATATTCCTTAGTCACAGACCTAAGTTTTACGACTCTTAGACCCATCACAGACCCATATTTGATAAAGGTTGCAAGTTTTGTTTTTCAAATTTCGCAGACTGGCTAAAACCTAGYTTCCGTAAAACTATTATTTCGCTATCAAAAAATCTATCAGTTTTCTCTGTAATCACAGAATGGGACAATCACGAACGGAACCCTCAGATCCATGCTAGGTGAAAGCCCAAGATCGAATTGGAATTTAGAAGTTGGTTTTTGCGGAGGGAGGAAAACCGGAGAACCCGGAGAAAAACCCTCGAAGCACAGGAGAGAACCAACAAACAACTCAACCCACATACAACACCTAGCTCGTAGGGACTCGAACCCGGGTCGCATTGGTAAGAGGCGAGCGCTCTCACCGCTACGCCACCCATGCTTTCCATAAACTAACCCAGCTAACCCAGATCAGCCGAGTTGATCTTGTCCCCTGAAAGAAATTGTGGGTCAACTATTTTATTTTTGCTTTTACATAGCATTTTTGAAGAAATACAAATTTTATAATGGCTCGTAATTCTTCGTTTCTTTTGTATAGCGACCATTACACAAAGATTTGTCCTCCATTTTTTAGGTCTGTAAGTGGCGCGYAGGATCATGGGAAATGCTAATCAAAATACCATAACAAATCCTCAATTCTGATTGATTGATCTTGAGTTGGTTCTGAAGATTGATATATCAGGATACACCTATTTCAAAGTTGTCGGTGATCTTATTCGCTCGGAGAGTGTGTCCAGAGAAGATCCACCAAGTTCATACTGTAAGATTGTGACTTTTCTTACAGCGTCCATTTAAAGAGTCTCAACTTATTTCCTCTTTCCTCTTTCGTACTGGCTTGAAATCAAGGATCATTTTCCCTACCAATGTTATTTCGGTCAGTATGAGCTAGGCATTTCAAACTTTGTAACAAGTTTCACTGCACGCTCTAGATCCCTTAGTGATCGACTTCTGCTAAGATACTTTGACAGCCCAGCCATTGCATTGCAATGAAACTACACTTTTCAGGAACTCTTTTTCAACCGCATGGTTTTTCATTGGACATCCGGCTCAATCCGTAACTGCTACTCTACGAACTTTCAAACACTACTTTCCCAAACTTGACGCTACATTTTACGTTGACAGAACTAGAACCTGGAAGACATACTGTTCATAAAATATTACCTGCTGCTCGTATCAGTTTTTGATATATATGTCAGTATTTTCCTGTTTTTAGTTTTTCTCGTTGCCGTAGGCCCTGATCAGTAGACGCAAATGTCTCGGTGTATAATTTGATGTTCTGCTATCATTTTTGAGATTACCAAGTAACAAAAACATATTAAAGTTAATTACAAATGAGGTCGAGACTTTGGCTGGGTGATTTTTATCGTGTTTTTCTTCATTTACGTTTGCTGCGATTTGGCGAGCAGCGACAATAAGTTTTAAAATCTTTTAAAATGCTTTCCTGTATTTGCATGGAATCCCTGTGTGCTAGATGTGTTTCTATGTCACTCAACATCCTCTCATTTAAAATTAAAATTATAAAAGATAAGACTAAGGTCAAACGTCGAACTTCAAATGACCATGAGTCGTGCCTAATTGCATCCTAAAGTGCATGCCCCACATTCGTATGAGAACACGGACGTATTTTATTCCATTATGGTCGCCATTTACGATGGTGTGAATGTTGACCATTTTACTGCACATAAACATGGTTTGTTTGAAGATCGACCTTAAAAAAGTTTGACTGAAGACTTGGCCGGTCGAACTTAATTATATCAGTCGATCCTAAATACACTAGCTTTGATACAGCTCATATATGTGAAGTTCGACTTTGACCAAAGCCTAATAATATGCAAAAGGGAAATCAAACTGCCGCATCGCAAACTCGTGGATACCATCCTCTGAATCCTACTTGCACTCTTGATGTTGGTTCCCCTAGCTGTGCTCCTGAAACGTAACCCTGAGAAGAAAGTTGCGAACAAGTTATGCGTAGTAAATTATTTGTGACCTTCTAGTGTCGTCCGCCTTTTTCACATGATGCGATACTATTTCCTTACATTGTGAAATAAGCGCCGGGATCATTATTATTATGATAATCTTTACAAATTCGTTTAGAAATATTAATTATTCAACTTGTTTTCATTCAAGGCTGTAGGATAAGCCTGGCATATTTCCTTGTTTTGTTGTTCTTCGTAGATTTTTTTACGTAAATCCGAAGAATTATCTTGAATGTCGTAAACGAATTATTTTTATGCTTTTTTGTTCATTTTATGTAAATCTTATCCAGTTTAGGAGCCTATTTTATATTTCCTTTTATCTGATGCAACATGCATCAATCTTTCCTTGATTCTTTTGATCAAATAATCCAAAGGTCAAGCTATTTGCGAGTATGAGCATGCTCAGTGCTAGCTTGCCCTGATGCCAGACATCATCCAACATCAAAAAATGGAATATCCAGCTCGTGATATAAATACAATGGCTTGTCTACCCTTTAGTGGATAAGAAGTTCGTGCGTCGGTTTGTATGAAGTCCGAAAGTAAGTTTCGAGTAACGTTTGTAGGTTGATAACGCAGGAGGATTGATAAGCAGTTTTAAACGTTAATTGAAATTATCGATCTGCTAAAATCTTAGTGAGTGAGTGACAAATTTGCATATTCAGACCCCTTACAATAACTCTTTTGTACGCTTCGCGTATCCACGAGTTAAAAAGAAGCCAACTCCCCCCCCCCCCCCCCCCCCCCCCCCCCCCCCCCCCCCCCCCCCCCCAGTTCCCAGTCTCTTCGAATTCCCATCCGCATATATGATCTTAACCCACTCACCCATACATGGAACGCGAATGTGAGTTCGCGTTGCATCGTGGGATAGAGTTCAAAGTCCAATCGGGCATGAGTTTATGCTAATTGCAACAGCTTAACATATAAATCTTGCCCGGAGAATTGCTTTACGACTTTAAGCTCGTGCTTTAGTTGTTTTTTTTAACTGATAATGGATGAAAATGACAAAAAMATCGAGAATGATCATCCATCTTTTGATGAAGTTGCTATGTGGAGAGTCGAAGCCTTGAAAGAATTCCTCAGGAAGAGAAACCTCAAGGTGACAGGTAAAAAAGGGGTCAACGCGTGAGCTTGTTTGACTGTAAAGTTATAGCGGCCATGGACTGCTTCTGTCCCTTCAAGTATTTCATGTGACATGTAGCCAACCATCTGAACACTAACACAGTAAACCCAAAACATTAGGTGAAAACAATCCAGCGAAAAATCATAATATTAAATTCTCTGCTGATTTGCTGCATGTATTGTTAGACTGAGCATTGTTACAGTCAAACACGTTCACGCGTTGACTCCTAGAGTCGATTAATGATTTGAATTTTCGAATTTTGATTTYATTATTCAGTTGAAATTTACAACGTCGAAAACGAAGATATGAAAATTCCAATCAACTTTAAATTCAACATACGACACTTACCGCAAATACTCGAGCAACCAATTCTTGTTTTTTACCTGTCACCTTGAGGTAAAGTACTAAAGTACGAGCTTAAAAGTCGTAAAGCAATTCTCCGGGCAAAATTCATATGTCAACCTGTTGCAATTAGCATAAACTTTATGCCCGATTGGACTTTGAACTCTATCCCACGATGCAACGCGAACTCACATTCGCGACCATGTATAGGCTAAATGCTTGATTAGTTGGGAACTGAACTGTTCATCTGTTAAATGCAAAAATGAAGGTTATTTGCGCTGGAGTACCAAAAACAGGCACTACATCCATGGCACAAGCCCTACGCATCCTAGGGTATAAAACATATGACTTCCCTGAGCAAACAAGCTTCTTCATAGATGAGTGGGATGACTTGTTTACGCGTGGAAAAATGCCTGACTTTCAAGCCATGTTTAAAGATGTTGATGCTGTGACTGATACGCCAGCATCGTTTGTGTTTGAAGAGCTTTTTGAAAGTTTTCCCGATGCTAAAGTGATTCTATTGGTTCGTGACAATGAACGAGTATGGGCTAAAAGCTATAGCGAACACTTAAAACTGGTTTATTGGTGGACAACGATTTACTTTCGTCTTCCTAACAGGAAAATGTGGCGAGTAATGACATCGCTCATTGATTTTTTGGGAAGCCCTAATCCTAGTTCGTCGTTCGTCCACATCAAGCAGTACAAGTGGTACAACCAACGTGTTCAGCAACTCACCCCGAAAGACAAGCTGCTGGTTTTTAATGTCAAGCAAGGTTGGAAGCCCTTGTGTGAGTTTCTTGGTCGAAAGGTTCCAGATGAGCAGTTTCCTCGTGTTAATGTTGGAGGTCAAGATTTAAAGAATCATTTGAATAATACCTTGAAGAAAATTCTGGTTATTATCGCTTTCTTTGTATTGGTTGTTGCTATATTTGTATTTTTTATTAAGGCCTAGAATATAAATGCTCGTCCAAATATTGATTTATTTTGTACTCGAAAAAAGAAATGTCATAGTTTACCATAGCGACTTTTCGGTTATACCTGTCACTTTCCTGCGTGACATTAATGATGCAAATAAGTAATAACAAACAACTTTGTGTAGCTAGCATAACATACTAGTCTATGTTAAAATGGAATTTAGTATGTTGTATAGCTCTCATCGTTAACCAGCCGACAATTTTGAACAACAACCAAAAAAAATAAAAAGCACGAACAAAAATTGAGCTAAGTGGGGAGTGCGAAATCGGTTAGATTCCATGTTGGGAGTTTTGAGACTCGGTTGTAAATMAGCTTTAACAGTTTTGACTTCTAAAGTCTTGATAACTGATTAAAAGGACTTTTTGACTAAAGTTTAATTAGTGTATTTACGTTTTTGTCCTTTCTGTTTAGAGACTAGATGTGTAGAGAAAGTAATGTTTCAAGTGAATTTATTTCGAAAAATCTTTAGTTACATGTAATCGCCAAACATATAGAYTTTTGCATGTTTAATGAGCCAAAAAAAGATGGCACACGATAATTKCGCAGATTTTGAGATGTACTGACGAGCATTGTAACCCTGTGGCCTTCTCTTTTCGTCGTRCTAAATGTGTTTTTTTTAATTTAATTTTTTGAATAGTCTGATTGTTATATAACTATTGTAAATAAGTGCAGAAGAGCAGAAATATGGAGTGAGAGTTTCTTACACGGACCACACGAACGCAAACACTTTTTAGATTAGCGAGAATCGTCCTTTGAGCTCAAACCGTTTTTTTTTTCTTTTTGAATTCTCGAAAGCAAAAATTCATTTTTAAATATGCACACAGCGTTTCATTATTCATCATCCACTACTTCTAAACAGATGAGAATAACATTCCCTTTACGAAAATCGCAACAAACATCAATCATTCATTCGGTTTTCATTTATAAGCAAGACACTTTATTGTGTATCATAGCAGCTCACAGGTTTAAATGGTTGACATAACAGTGGTTATTCACATAGCTTCCTAAAGTGTAACCCCATCATGTTGGTAGCCACGAATATAATGGCTATCAGCTATCGTAAAACTGTTTGTTTTTACTCTACTATAATATGATTGGTTGATATTTATAGGTTTTGAAATTTCATAGATTCAAGTAGGTAAACGTGACTTGTTCAACTAGATACTGTAAGGTGGTTGGCGTTACTATGAAATGATTGGTTAATGCGTGTTACTGTCGAGTGATTGGTCAAAACAGGTACAAGGTAACATATGTGACTAGGTTAATTTACTTAGTGTTTTCGGGTGATTGGTTGAATCAGTTCTGATTGTTGGGTAAGATGTTATCATATGAAGTGTTATCTTTTATTGGTTGATCATTTTAATATAATATCTACATCAGAATGCCCTGCTTTGTTGTCATTTCAGTTTGGTCTCTGCCCTCCTGCAAGGCACTGTTTGTACCTCACGTCACACCAGTACCTTTGGTAATAGTTCCATCCAGCATTGCTCAGGCATATTGAACGTTGACGGTAACAAGGCTGCAATGAAATATACTCGTATCAGTTAATATAGCTTTCATCAGTGAATGGCTGGTCAACCACGAGATCGAGTGACAAAATTCCGGAGGGGGAGGGGAGTGGGGTTGGGATCCTTGTTGGCTCAGTGGGCTCGACAAGTGTGGGAGGTTATGGTTTGAGGGTCTCTAAATATTTGAGTAGAGGGAACCGCCTTTGATCTGAGAATATCTACAAATTACCTTTGAGAAAAAAGAATGGGAGTTCCCAAGGAATACAGATAAAATTTACTAATCTTTATTTTACATCACTTTATCTTCAAAATCATCAGTGGATTCAATTCCTTAATATTGGTTAACAAGATCTACTTGGGAATAGAAACCCTTAACGTTTCTCAATCAAACTATACCAAGAATAGTAATGAAGAAGACTTTAATGGTTATAAAGGTCCATGCACGTGACCTATATGGTCGATCCAATTTGAAATTAATTACGTGAATTATTTATGCGGTTTTAAAGGATATTTAGTCTAGCGCGGGAACTCGAAACCGACGCCCCTTTACGTCAACAGMAGGTACAGTACCATAAATAGCCACAATACCATATATATAACAGATATCATAACAAAAAATGAGATATACATAGAGAGAGAATATTCAGAGCCCAAGTGGAGTCAATAAACTATTTTATGGAACGGTCTGAACCCAGGTGAATGAATGTTTATCGAAATATTATGATCATCCGGCTGGACGCAGTCCTGAGAAGGACTGTTTGATGTGACTGACGTTTCGACAACCTGAGCGGAAGTTATCTTCCGAGTCAAGTGAAGAATAAAGCCACATCCACTAAACCGCTCAATTAACTTACTGGCTCCGTATAATAGGTTTATCGGTAACAATAACTCCACCCACAACAACGAAACAGCGACTCCCGATGCCGCCAATTACGCAAATCCAGGTAATTAAGCTATTGTTATCTTGGCAGTATAAATATGACCAATCTCACTTTAAGTCGCCATTGGTCATTGATATCATGAAATATTAATGAGTTTGAAAACTAAAAAATCCAAACTTAGACGAGAACTTAGAACCTCATCAAGGTCAGTCATCTACGATCACCGTTAACTTTCAACATCTCTTCCACTAGCGCTCCTGTCTTGAGTTTGACATGCTATCTTGAACTCGTGGGAACCTTTTTGGACTGATTGCGCATTACAGCATAACTTACAAGCCTCTATCGAAGCATAAAAGTCCATGTTCGCGACGTGTATATTAGCTCTAAATAGGCATGAATTATGCTTGAGTTTAACTCGCAGAWCGTCTTAATTTTATCAGGTCTAAGACCCTACGGCTACGCCTAGTGTTAAACACTACATCCCCATCTTTTTTCTGTCAAGGGCGCCTATGGTTAGTCCTTCGCTACCCTTAAGTCTGTCTGTCCATCGCCAACTTTACTGTACTTACATGCGTCATGATCCTCACACACTGATAATACTGGTTTGTACAGACTTGTTTGGCGTACCAGGTAAAAGCAAACATCATACACTGTCTGTACCTCACGACACAGTACTAAATAATAGAAACAGTAATCAACATTAGTGACATTTGGAAGTGAAAATTCAACAGAAGTTTATAAGACAGATTACGATAGTTTTTTAAGTTCACACACATATTTGGTCAGCCGTGCTAGAATCATCGGTGCAAGTAATTACAAGTAAGGGTCTGGAATTTGTCTGCGGATAGCGTTATCCAGGCTTCGCACAGCCGGGCCAAGAGCTATAAGTTATAAGACTATAAGTAAAACAGTAATAGAATAACTTAACATAAAGCGTTGCAAATTACACAATAGCAAAAAACCATGTTTGCAACTATGCAGAAAGCTTAATTTAGAAAGCTTAAGAGAGTAAAAAAGAAGGGATGAAATAAGTACACCCCCAATTCTCTGAGCACAATTCCACGTATATATGCATATCATATACATACCTTCCCTTTTTACATATACTAGATAAACCAAAATCAGTATCAATACTTGCTTTCAATTTGGTCCGCTTTCTATCGAGCTCAAACACACTCTACCACTACATTCAATACTATGTGTACAAAACTAAAACGCATCAAACAAACTATATATGTTATTCAGTTAAACACACAACAAAAGGCCACACAGCGATGAGAGACAATACCGTATCTTATATACCTTCCATGCCAATCAAGATCAGTGGGAATCCCTTTCCTCCCAATTCGTTCTCAACTTCATACCCACCCCTTATCTACTATATTATACTACTTATAGGACGGCACGCAGCGAACTCACAGATAAAATTGGAAGTTATATACCAGCGGAGGGAAGGACCCTGACCATCAACTCAATCATATGTCAGATGACGTAAAAGCTGTTTGAGATCTGAGGTAAGCCTCGTTTTTCTTTCGTACGCAACGAAATGAGGCAATTTCGAATTTCTATTTCGCTTACCTGTGGAGGTGGGGCTGTTCCAGAGCCGTTATCATCATCGTCGTCGTCACCTCCTCCTCCTATAACGCCGCCACCTATACCACCACCTCCGATCCCTCCACCGCCAATGCCACCACCTCCGATACYCCCAAAATTATCATCATCATCATCTCCTTGGACAACTCCTTTTAGGCTATCTTTGCYTATCGACTCAAAGTTTTCGTCTTCTATGTGCGTCTCAGCATGCACAACAACTATTAAGACTAGAAGCCACAAAAATGCCTTCATTTTGAACGAAACCCTCAACTTGAGTAAACCCTTTAGCAACTTTGGAAGAAGTGGTTGAGATGTCAAAGAAGTTGGCCTTTTAAATACATAGGCTCCGCGGTATTTATTAAAGACCTGTTATTTTATATTGAGCACATGATGCAGGGTACGTGTTGTTAGTAAAGCTGTAAGGCTGATTAAAGCGTTTGGTTTCCAGTGAAATGTTTTAATTAGTCTTATTTATGTGAATAGAAATGGTGGAAGAAAAGAATGAAASCAAGCTGTCAATCTGACTTAAGTGTTGCATTTGTTGTGGAAATTAAACGGTAATTAAAAATAAATAGCCATGTATGAAAGTTTAAATTGAAATTGCTGTCATAATTACGCAACCAGGATCTAGTACGGAATTAAAGGTTATGTGTTCGTAGAACACTCGCCTCCCCCCTCGCTGGGGTCTGTGGTTCGATCCCTGGACTCAGCATTATGGCGTCRGCATCAATCAACGTGAGTAGAGTTTGCTACGTCTCTTTCTTGATTGGTGGGTTTTTCTTCAGGGTCTCCGGTTTTATTCTCTCAGCAAAACCTAACACWCTTAATATTTCTGCTTCTGACACCATCGATCGCTTCACCCAACTCYGAACCCTGAACGAATGACCGTAAGATAAGTATCACCCCTGAGTTTAAAATTTCCTCAGAAGATTTGAACTTAAATTATAATTAATTTGACCTAGAAACCAATACCTTTAAATTTAGCTTTCCCKGAAACTTTTTCTTCAACTAGTCAGTAATTTTTCAAACGGCAATATAAAAAAGAATCTCACATGAATTGAAACTTTACATATAACGAATGTATGATCAATAATGCAGTTWGATCAAAGGATTGATTGCAGCATCGTTAGAGGAACCCAATGCACCGATAGGGTTTATTAAATAGATTATTTGTTTTATGTAATACAAAAGACATCAGTATAAATAATGATTAAAGATGCGTTTTTATTTGTTTAGAGACAGTGACACGTGACAGTTGGCAACTTAGCACTTCTGGCCCTTTATACCTATATTTAACGTGGTCAAGCCACGGCGAAGGTCTAACCATTTGCAGATTTTTTAGAGCATCTTCTACTAAAATAACTGAATCGAAGTACCTGCCCGTTGCCCAAACGACCGAACTAACCGGAAAGTGGTTTTATGATATTTGTAAATAGYTCAATTTTTTTACACTTAGTTTAAGTTTTCCTCTTAATCACTTGTTCAACACACAAACGCAGTCGCAACTAGTAACCGATAGTTAATCATTAAATTTTAAAGCATGTTCGTTAACGTATGGGAAAAGGGGCTAGCGCTATTTTAATTTTTTTTCTTTTTTAAGAAAAAAAAACAAAAAAAAAACCATTCCGTACATTCATGACCTCGGGCACAGTCTTTCCCTATGCGGGCCTCCTGGCCGATAGATAACATATATTTATTTTCCAGGTGTATACTTATTTCAATAAAGTTAGTCACCAAAAACCTAGAAAGCTGTGGTCGCTGAGAATMATGGGAAATATTTTATATCCAACAAGTAATACTTTTGACATAAACCGAAGGAGGTTAACTTGTAACTGGTAGAAGATCTCAAGTTCATCAACAGTTATCAAGCGGTTGAAACATGTAAAATGTATYTATCCATAATCCTTGTCGGTCTCAGCTTTATAGCTTTTCAGGTGTGACTAACTTTATTGAAATAAGTGTATCTGCGACAACTATTGCTGGAGACTTTCATTTAGGCGCTTCAACGTTTTCGTTCAGCTAACTTAGTGTTATTTATCACAAAATTGTGTTGGAGAATGATATTTATAGTGTTGCAGGAGGGTCGTTACACTCGTAATA